CTTGAGGTCAGGAGCTCAAAACTAGCCTGGCCAACATGGTGAAACTCCATCTACTAAAACTACAAAAATTAGCCAGGCATAGTGGCAGATGCCTGTAATCCCAGCTACTGGAGAGGCTGAGGCAGGAGAATTGGTTGAACCCAGGAGGCGGAGGTTGCAGTGAGCTGAGATCGTGCCACTGTACTCCAGCATAGAAAACACTGGATTAAATTTAATTGGATGCACAATAAAATGGAGCACCATAAAATGTGCTATGCTTGCACTTATAATAAAAAGTAGTGTAACAGGTGCTAATTTAGTAGATAAGTATGACTATGTTCCAATAACTCTTTTATCAGAAAGAATTATACTTAAATATATTCCCAGATACCAATAAGTTTTAATGTAAACTAATACCATAATGTTTAATTACTTGCACATAGTAGAAGATCAACACATGGTCATGCAGTTGTCTAAAACCATGCCATAAAAATAATAACTGGAAGTTGAGAAGTGGCAAAGTAAAGTTGAAAGGAATTGAGTTAAACCTAAGGAGACTGAAGTCCTATCAATGATTAGGTAGAAAAGAAACAAAGAGCCAGGCATGGTGGCTCAGGCCTGAATCTTAGCACTTTGGGAGGCGGAGGAAGGTGGATCACGAGGTCAGGAGATCACAATCATCCTGACTAACACAGTGAAACCCCGTCTCTACTAAAAATGCAAAAAATTAGCTGGGCGTGGTGGCATGTGCCTTTAGTCCCAGCTACTTGGGAGGCTGAGGCAGGAGAATCACTTGAACCCATTAGGTGGAGGTTGCAGTGAGCTGCGATTGCGCTACTGCACTCCAGCCTGGGCGACAGAGCAGCAGTCTGGATGGAAGGACTTTTATTATTATTGTTGTTGTTGTTGTTGTTGTTATTATTATTATTATTATTATTATTGAGACAGAGTTTCGCTGTTGTTGCCCAGACTGGAGTGTAGTGGTGCAGTCTCGGCTCACTGCAACCTCTACCTCCTGGGTTCAAGCGATTCTTGTGCCTCAGCTTCCTGAGTAGCTGGGATTACAGGCATGTGCCATCACACCTGGCTAATTTTTGTATTTTTAGTAGAGATGGTGTTTCAGCATGTTGGCCAGACTGGTCTTGAACTTCTGACCTCAGGTGATCCACCCACCTCGGCCTCCCAAAGTGCTGAGATTACAAGCATGAGATTACAGGCCACCGCGCCCGGAGGAAGAAATACATTATGAATATTAGCAGGCTTACTGGTGGTAAGTTAGGTGTGGTGCCAGATAGTGGAGCAAACTAGTCTGGGGGAGACAGGAGCTAGCATCCTTAGTATTGGGGTTTGGTTGCTGTGGCAGCAGCAGTCTCCTAAACAGAACAAGGTATGGGAGAAAGAGGAAAGACCCAGTTTCTAGCTCTCTATTTCCACATTATTCAGAGAGCAGACAACTGTCTCAGGCTTTCTATTTGGGCTTTCAGTTGAAGATTCTTAAAAAAATTTTAAAGATTCACTCTCCCCATTCCACTCTAGCATCCTTCCACCTACTTGCAGATAAAATTGTAAGTAGGGAATCCACAAAGAGAATAAAAATTTTAAATTTACATAAGTAGTGGAAATAACAGTATAATACAAATGAGTTCTAGTTTAGAAAATCAGGCAGCAAATACGAGGGAACTTCAAAAAGTTCATGGAAAAACTGAAAGATAAAAATAGGCCAGGGCCAAGCATGGTGGCTCACACCTGTAATTCCAGCACTTTGGGAGGCCAAGGTGGGTAGATCACTTGAGATCTGAAGTTCAAGACCAGCCTGGCCAACATGGTGAAACCCCATCTCTACTAAAAATAGAAAAAATTAGCCAGGCATGGTGGTATATACCTGTAATCCTAGCTACTTGGGAAGTTGAGACAGGAGAATCATTTGAACCCAGGAGGTGGAGGCTTCAGTGAGCTGGGATAGTGCCATTGCACTCCAGCCTGGGCAACAGAGCAAGACTTCATCTCAAAAAAAAAAAAAAAAAAAAAAAAAAGCCAGGTGTGATAGCTCACACCTGTAATCTTGACACTTTGGGAGGCCAAGACAGCAGGATGGCTGGAGCCTAGGAGGTTGAGGCTGCAGTGAGCCATGATCTTGCCACTGTACTCCAACCTGGGCAACAAAGTGAGACCCTTTCTCAAAAAAGAAAACAGATAAAAATAGAAAACATAAGCTTTGTTTTTCAACATAAGCTCCATCAAGTTTAAGACACTTTTGTAAGCAATGATATCAGCTATTTAGTCCATCCCCAAATAAATAAGGGTCCTGGCTATTTAATCATGTTAATGCAGCCTGTTTACATTGTTAACTAAAGAAAAATGGGTACACTTTAAAGTTGTTTTTTTTTTTAAAGATTAGGAAAGAACAAGTCAGAAGAAGCCAAATTAGAACTCTAAGGTGGATGCCTAATGATTTGCAACATTGAAATTCAAAATTGCCCGTGTTTGATGAGAGGAATGATGAGCAGGAGCATTGTCCTAGTAGAGAAGCAATCTCTGGCAAAGCTTACCTGGGCATTTTTCTGCTAAAACTTTGGCTATCTCTAAACACTCTCGTAATTTTTTTCTTTCTTTTTTTTTTTTGGTAGAAACAAGGTCTTACTATGTTGCCCAGACTGATCTTGAATTCCTGGCCTCAATGGATCCTCCTGCCTTGGCCTTTGAAAGTGCTGGGACTACAGGTATAAGCCACTGTACCCAGCCTCAAAACACCTTTATAATGAGCAGATGTTATTGTTTTTTGGCTCTCCATAAAGTCAACAAGAAAAATGCTCTAAGCATCCCAAAAAATAGTTCCCATGACCTTTGCTTTTGACTAATCTGCTTTTATTTTGACTGGATCACTTCCGCCTCTTGGTAGCCACTGCTCTGTTTGTGCCTTGTCTTCAGAATTGTCTCCTAGTAAAGCCATATTTCATCTCCTGTTACAATTCTTGGAAGAAATGCTTCAGGCTCTTGATCCCGCTTGTTTAAAATTTTTATTGAAAGACAACTGAAATTTTAAGTAGGAAAACCACCAAGAGAACAAAAGTACTCTTGTCTGTAACTGATCTGAGTGCCTATCAAGTTTCAGTACCTAGCAAGTGGAAAGTCGGCTCAAGTTTAATTTTTCTGTCAGCATTGTGTAAGCTGAACCAACTGAGACATCTATGATTTTGGATATTGTATTAGTCAATTCTCGTACTGCAATAAATAACTACTTGAGGCTGGGTACAGTAGCTCATGCTTGTAATCCCAGCACTTTGGGAGACCAAGGTGGGTGGATCACCTGAGGTCAGGAGCTCAAGACCAGCCTGGCCAACATGGTGAAACCCCATCTTTACTAAAAATATAAAAATTAGCTGGGTGTGGTGGTGAGCATCTGTAATCCCAGCTACTAGTGCAGCTGAGGCAGGAGAATCAGGGAGGCGGAGGTTGCAGTGAGCTGAAATAGTACCACTGTACTCCAGCCTGGGTGACAAGAGTGAAACTACATCTAGAAAAAAAGAAAAAGAACTACCTGAGAGTGGATATTGTATAAAGTAAAGAAGCTTGACTCACAGTTCCACAGGCTGTACAGGAAGCATGGCTGGCGTGCCTTGGAAAATTTAAAATCATGGCAGAAGGGGAAAACAGCTGATCTTCACATTGCCAGCAGGAGACAGCAAGCAAAGAGGGAGGTGCTACACACTTTCAAACAACCAGATCTCATGAGAACTCTATCATGAGACAGCACTAGGGCGATGGTGCCAAACCATCAGAAACCATGCACATCATCCAGTCACCTCCCACCAGGCCCCTCCTCCAACACTTCCTCTCATTACAATTCTACATGAGATTTGGATGGGGACACAGAGCCAAACCATAGTAGATATTCTCTGTGCTATAATCACTGGTACTCTTTAATGAGAGCACATACAAGATAAATTTTTTCCTCCCAAATTGCTGTGAATGATCTGCTTCAGGCTTCATCTTCAACATTGTCTCATCTCTTAAAATGAGTTATCCATTTGTAAACTGCAGATCTCCTTGGGGTATTGTCCCCATAACCTTATTTGAAGCATCAGTGATTTCACCATCCTTCCACCCAAACCTCACCATAAATTTGATGTGTGTTCTTGCTTCAATTTTAGCAGAATTCATGTTTCTCTGATAAAAGGGCGCTTTTCTAACTGTCTTATTCTTGTTAGTGTCTCTCACCAGGTCCTTTTCAGACATGTTATAAAAAGTCAGTTTATTCCGGTGCAAAAAAAAATTTGACATCCATGCACACTTTTTTTTATAATACATATTTTCTATGAAAATTTTGAAGAACGCTTATATAGATGAATTATAGGTTATCAAAGTTTTCCTGGATTTTTCAGGCTTTATTCTTAACAGTTTTCAAATGAAAGGGCTTGGAGAAACCGAAGAACTAAAAGGGTTGCAGATAGAGTTTTGAGGGAAAGAAAAATTGACATACTCACACCTTCACCCTGGGCAACAAAAGTTATGAGTCAAGATATTGGTCACATAACTTAGGTTTTATGATGATAGTTATCACATTAAGATAACTTAGGTTTTATGATGTTTTTGTTTTTTTTTGGTTGGTTTTTTTTTTTGTCATTTTAGAAGAGGGAAGTTTTAAGTGTAACATCACTGAACAGTGTCCCATTCCCTATTCTCACCATTGGTATGGTGGATCTTTTTTTTTTTTTTTTTTTTTTTGGGGGGGGGAGACAGAGTTTCGCTCTTGTTACCCAGGCTGGAGTGCAATGGCGCGATCTCGGCTCACTGCAGCCTCCGCCTCCTGGGTTCAGGCAATTCTCCTGCCTCAGCCTCCTGAGTAGCTGGGATTACAGGCATGCGCCACCATGCCCAGCTAATTTTTTGTATTTTTAGTAGAGACGGGGTTTCACCGTGTTGACCAGGATGGTCTCGATCTCTTGACCTCGTGATCCACCCGCCTCGGCCTCCCAAAGTGCTAGGATTACAGGCTTGAGCCACCGCGCCCGGCCCGGATCTTGTTTTTCTTAATGTAGTACATATTAATAAAATTTATGAGATCTAAGGTCTATTGTATTTGAAAGATTAACTGACATATATGGTATGCTTTTATAAAACCTGTTAAAATGACAAAAATGGTTTGACATCTTTAAGGAACAAAGTGATCTAAACTTCTTAATATGAATTGGCATTACCTTGAACACATTGCATTGTGATTACATGAAAGATTTGCTGAAATGGTCACGTGTTCAGAAACTACTACATCTTAATAGTAAACAGTTGCCTTGTTTGTTTCTTTGGTTTGCTTGTTTGCTGCTTAGCATCAGGACACCCGCCCCTTGTGTGGGAAATACACAATTTTGTGACCCTATGGGTTGAAACCCAAAAAGTCTGATGCTTTTTCTCATTCCTGGCAACCAAGGGATAGGACCAAATTGGGTCAATTGAATGCCCTTGCCCCTAACTGTGAACAGAGTAGTGTTATGAAGAAGGAATAGGAGATTAGAATCAATGCTGGTATCCTTCCATTGCCCCATCATTTCAGGATCCAAGTGTCCAGTAGATGTGGTCCCTTAGCCAGCCTGTACCTTTGGCCATGGTACCAGCCAACTACTTTCCTTATGTTCCCAAGTTATCTGGTAACCATTCAGGAAATTATTTTCCTACTTAAGTATACAAAAAACAGTGTCAGTTTTCACCTGACCGATTCAGTCACCCTTCAGAGATGTAGGAAAACTATTAGCAGCTGAGGGATGCTGCCAAGGCCAGTGTCTGGGCTCTGCAGTTTTCTAACTTGTGATATTGGGTCACCCCACTAAGCAGGAGAGCAGTGACTCTGTCTGGCTTAATCATTATGGGATGGCCAGCTCCCAGCTCCATGCCCTAGGCAAACAGACATTCAGTGCATATTTATCTGACTTTAATTTAATTGAAGAAAACAGTAACACTGAACTCTAGGTTTGCTCAGTATCTGTTACAGATTTCTTGATTCTGACTGCTTTTAGTTTAAATTTTTTTTTAGCAAGAAAGAACTAAGAATGATGACACTAGGCTTTAAATTCAGGTAAACAGGAGGCTGGGTTTTTTGCATAAGCAGAAATGAGGAAGTCAAGAGGAAGAGATTAAATTTCTGTTGTAATAAATTGAATCTGCTAAATGCCATGGCTTTTTAATTTTCTTAATCACACGTTAAACCGGTTATGTTGCTGCCTAGATGGCTATATATTTGTTTAAAAGTACAGCAGTCCCTCCTACTGGACTTTGATCCTGCAAAAACAACTGTTATCTAACTCACCCTCAGACTGTCACTGGGACACCTGCATGAAGAATATTCTTTCATTTTTTAAAAAAGGTTTTGCATATATATGATTTAAGCTTTCAAAATGATTAGAAAATGTTTTATTGTTCTACTCTTGTTGCTTGTGACTATAGAAGAAGCAAGGTTATCATCTCTCAGTTTTCTGGATATAGAGAAGACTGAAATACTATTTTTTACGAAGACGGAAGAAACCATCATTGTAAATTCAAGCTACAAAGATAAACGGCCTAATTCCAGCTACCTCTTTGTAAAAATAGAAGATCCTAAAATACTGCAAATGGTGAATGTGATCAAGAAGATCTCATCAGATGGTACAAACTTTATCATAAATCTGGAGACTGATGAAGAAGGAGAAACAAATGTGACTATTCAACTGTGGAATTCTGAAGGTAGGCAAAAAAGACTCATTGAAGAAATCAAGAATGTGAAAGTCAAAGTGCTTAAACAAAAAGACAGTCTTCTCCAGGCGTCAATGCATATTGATAGAAATATCCTAATGCTTATTTTACCACTAATACTATTGAATAAGTGTGCATTTGGTTGCAAGATTGAATTACAGGTGTTTCAAACAGTATGGAAGAGACCTTTGCCAGTAATTCTTGGGGCAGTCACACAGTTTTTTCTGATGCCATTTTGTGGATTACTTTTGTCTCAGATTGTGGCATTGCCTGAGGCACAAGCTTTTGGATTTGTAATGACCTGCACATGCCCAGGAGGGGGTGGGGGCTATCTCTTTGCTCTGCTTCTAGACGGAGATTTCACGTTGGCCATTTTGATGACTTGCACATCAACATTATTGGCTCTGATCACAATGCCTGTCAATTCTTATATATACAGTAAGATATTAGGGTTGTCAGGTACATTTCATATTCCTGTTTCTAAAATTGTATCAACACTCCTTTTCATACTTGTACCAGTATCAATTGGAATAGTCATCAAGCGTAGAATGCCTGAAAGAGCAAGCTTCTTGGAGAGAATAATTAGACCTCTGAGTTTTATTTTAATGTTCGTAGGAATTTGTTTGACTTTCAGAGTGGGATTAATATTTTTAAAAACAGATAACCTAGAGGTGCTTCTGTTGGGTCTCTTAGTTCCTGCTTTGGGTTTGCTGTTTGGGTACTCCTTTGCTAAAGTTTGTATGCTGCCAGTTCCTGTTTGTAAAACCATTGCTATCGAAAGTGGGATGTTAAATAGCTTCTTAGCTCTGGCCATTATTCAGCTGTCTTTTCCACAGTCCAAGGCCAATTTAGCATCTGTGGCTCCTTTTACAGTAGCCATGTGTTCTGGATGTGAAATGTTACTAATCATTCTAGTTTACAAGGCTAAGAAAAGATGTATGTCTTTCTTACAAGATAAAAGGAAAAGAAATACCCTAGTCTAACAATTAAAGCATTACTGAATTCCTACTCTGCGTAAGGCATGGTGGGGGAGTCAAAGAATAACTCAATGATACCTGCTCTAAAGCCAGTTATAATCTAGTTAAAAATCTGACATTGGGGATAGAGAATACATATGTGTATGTATACACACACACACACACACACACATATTCATACATGCTAAGCACTCAATGAGTGGTGGAGATGATAATACAAAAGTTCAAAGGAAGGAGACAACTTTTCAACTGTGTTGGTTTGAGAACGTTTTATAGGCTATGACGTCAATATGATACTTCCAGTGGTCTCCTAAATGAGACAAAGCAATAGAAAAGTGATTACGATATATCCTAAGTATTTAAAGAAGGAACACCCATATAGCAGACATTTGGTAAATTCTCACTCAGTGAATGAATTTGCAAATTTCTATTTGGTGCTCTCATTAGCACATCAAAATGAATATGTTTTAAAGTAAATGTGGCATCTCTGCTCTCACAGCTGAGCTTTCTCCTGTCTTCCATGTTAACCCACCAAAGGCATTACCATTTACCCTGAAACACAGGTTCAGCTCTTCAACCTCTTCTCTCTTCTGTCTTCTTTCTTTATAGTCAACGTAGTTCCTAAGAAACAGCCTATAATACAATTGCCAGTGCTCTTCTCAGTTCTCAGTGCTGTCACTGTTTTTCTGCACTCTATTGTTTCTTCCCTAAACCTTTCTAAACTGGCTTCCTGCTTTCCCTATTTCCTAGCCGTATGATTGATTGTAGGCACATTCTTTAATCTTCTTATAGTCCAGTTTTCTCACATAACAAATGAAGCTAACGGTGTCAACTCCGTAGATTGTCCTAGGAATTAAATGAGAGTATACATGTGTGGGGCTTAGAAGAGTGCCTGGGACATAGTAAGTGCTATTATGCTATTATGACAGTTTTAACTTTCAACCCTGGTAGATCTGCTGCTCGTTTGAAATAGCAATCATATAACTATGTATGGGGCCTAAAACTGTCAACATTTTCTATCAGTACTGTTCACCATCTTGATCATAGAATTAGAGAAGTTTTATTTACTTTGCCAGTTGATAAGATAACCAAGGTATTTTTTTTAATACCACCAAAACCAATATATGACTACCAAGATTTGTGCAAAATAATGATAATTGCCTAAGTAGAATATGTTACTCCTTTAAACAGAAATACCCACTATGGGTTTAAATAGAATTACTTTTGTCCAAATTTAACTTACATAATGTTTTTGTTTGTTTGCTTTTCATTTGGAGATGGAGTCTCACTCTGTCACCCAGGCTGGAGTGCAGTTGGTGCAACCTCCACTCACTGCCTCCTGAGTACCTGGGATTACAGGCACCCACCAGGACGCTCAGCTAATTTTTGTATTTTTAGTAGAGACGGGGTTTCTCCATGTTGGCCAGCCTGGTCTTGAACTCTTGATCTCAGGTGATCCAACCTCACCCTCCCAAAGTGCTGGGATTATATACATACTCTGAATAAACGTATTTTACTACCTGGGAGACGGGACACCTACCTTTCTAATTATACTTTATTATTAACCTTGTGACCTTGACCAAGACACTTGTCTTCACTTTAGTTTTCAAATTTGTAAAATAAAGAGATTCAACTGAAGTTTAGATCTTATACAACTCTGTAAGTCTGTGATTCTGGCATAGAACTCAAGGACCTAGTGTTTTGAACAGGGGATAGCATAAAGTAATAAAGATTCAGGATGATGAGAATAGCTGCATACTACATTTGCTTTCTAATTAGGGAAACAAACAAACTATGAGCTCCCTTAGGACAAGGATCCCTTACTGCTTTTTAAAAAATTTCCTAGTGTTTGCTGTGAAAGAAAAATAAATCTTGGGGCCCCCAAATCACAAAGCTAAAAGGAAAAGTCAAGCTGGTAACTGCTTAGGGCAAACCTGCCTCCCATTCTATTCAAGGTCACCCCACTGCTTACTGAGATAAATGCATTCTGATTGCCTCCTTTGGAGAGACTAATCAGAAACTGAAAAGAATGTAATCATTTGTCTCTAAACTTGGGACCTAGTAGCCCCCTCCAGCTTCCACTTTTCCTGCCTTTGCTTCCAGTTGTCTGGCCTTTCCAGATCAAACCACTGTTCGGCTTACATATGTTGTCTAATGTCTCGTGTCTCCCTAAAATCTTTAAAACCAAACTGTACTGTGATCACCTTGGGCACATGTCATCATGACCCCCTGAGGCTGTGTCACGTGTGTGTGTCCTCAAACTTGGCAAAATGAACTTTCTGAATTAACTGAGATTTGTTTCAGATATTTGGGATTCACGCTGCATAGTGATTGAAAAGAGTAGGTCTTTATAAAACACTTACTGAACAAATTAATCAGTAATGTCTATAAAGGTCAGGATCAGATGCTCTGGAGCTATACTGTGCTTGGGCTGCACTTTAGCACTGTCAGTTTACCAGCTGTGGAACATTTTGGTCAAGTTACTTGATTTCCCTATGCCCAGATTCATGTTGAAAATAGCAATAATGGTAGCACCTACCTTGTGGTATTATTCTGAGGATCAAATGAATGAATATGAGCAAGGTCCTCATAACAATGCCTGACACATGGTAAGCCCTATTATTATTTTTGTTACTTTATGCCTATTTAAAAAATCTTATAAAGTAGTTGAAAGTGCATGGATGGAATTTGGAATATATTTTATTTCTTTAATAGATGTATCAAGGAGGACAGACTTTACATAGTAAAACTTGTCCTAAAATATGGATAGGGATGGGATGACTCAAGTTATTCCTTTTTTTAAAAAAATAAGAATGAGAGGCATAAAGCAGATTGTCTGATCAGTTGAGTTCATACTATTTTAAACAGCCACGATTAAGTAGAATAAAGATCCAGAGATAGAATGGTTATGCCAGTTTTTCTTTTTTTAAAGTTTCCATCTCTTAAGAGAGACAATTCTATGATACACTGTTCCAAGAATAACACTTTTATGATACGTATTTTTATGTCTTGCAAAGCTGATGGCATTATAAGGGTATGTCAAAGTCTTAACCAATATATGCCACTCCAATCTGTTATATCAAAACACAAGATCTGATTAGATATCCTTGCACACTCCACCCCTGAACAGCTGTAAGTGATGTATATAAATTTGATCATTTAAATCAAAATCCACTTAAATAATTATTATAATTAGGAATGTTTTGGCATGTGGAACCCAAATTATTTTTTAATGAAGAGAGTGATTATTTAAAAGAAGTCATCTCCAAAGACTAAGTGTAGTTGGCAAGATGCCCACAATTTCTGGGGATTGAATTCCTGTGGTCCCTCTTTATCATACAAATACAGAACAAGGAGGCACTTGTTGCCTACTGGGAAGGATGACCAGACTATTTTGTGGCCTCACAAAGGCCACCCTTCCCTACAACTCTGTTGTGTACACTTGGCTGTCTAGGGAGGTGTCAGGGGCATTGGATCTCACCTCTCCTTCATTCTGAGGTTCAGCGTAATTACAGCCTCTCCAATAGATGGAAGTCAGCTGACAGGAAAGGATACCAAAGGCCTCCAAGAGGGAACTCGCCTTAGGGAAGGTTGAAAGAGTGAGGAGCTGGACCTCATGCCAGGAAGTGGAGTTTGTGCTGCTGTCACCTGCCCCCCACAACCACCTGGACACAGCAGATTTCTTAGGTTTGGGAACAATGGGTGCAGATGGGACTGTAGTTTTCAAAACTGCCACTTTGGGAACTCAAGGACTGTGCATCCCGTACTGAGATGTCTGCAGCCATCTGAACTACCTTCACAGCATCAGAGAAAAGATCCTTTGGATTTGTAAGACCAGTTTGCACCTTTGCCACAATTGAGTCTGAACCCTAAGACTTCCCTGTGCACTGGCAGATTTTCATTTCACTTTCAGTAGCCATTTGGAAGCAGAAAGACCTCTTTGGACTGAAAACAACAACAACAACAACTGAGTTACCTGAGAACAAATGCGAAGTAGCCGCTGAGGTGAGGCCTCTCAGAAAAACTGGACTTCCTGCTCACCTGACATAAGAAACTTGAAAGGTTTTCATTTGAAGGGATAAGATGTTTGATATGCTGATTTTAGCAGCTTTTCAAGTCACCAAAGCCATGTTCATTTACATAAACAGAAGATGACTGATGACTTTTCTTCCAAAACTTGGGAAATATTAGTTGGTTATGAATGAACATTTGTCATCATGCAGTTGGCAAGATTTTTATTTTAAGATGATTGGCAATGAAGAACCGAAAAACTAGCCTCCCTTTTTTTTTTTTAATTTAAGAAAACAAAAGTATCATTTGATAGAGACAAAAGAGGTATCCAAGCTGGATACCCAAGGCATCACCCTTTTTTGATTAAAGACACTTCTTGCTCCTTTTGAGGTGTGAGAATTGTGTCCAGTCCACATCACTCATCTCTAAGACGTTTCATTTGAAATATATTGGTGACATCTTGTCTTTTGATTAAACGAAGAGAAGCAATAACTTTCTAAGGAAAGAGCCAAATAACTAACTTACTTCCCTGGTCCAGTTATAGTTAGGACATCTTATATTTGTGCTCTGCTTTTTGCACTATAATGTTGTATGGACCATGATGTCACTCTCTTTCTTTTTTTTTTTGGAGACAGAGTTTCACTTTTGTTGCCCAGGCTGGAGTGCAATGGTGTGATCTTGGGTCACTGCAACCTTCAGGAGTCAGAGAAAAATTTTTGCTTCTGAGGCCTTCATTGTGTGGGGTATCATTTTCTGAACCCCAAAACTTTGAAGTTAGTGTGTTTCACTCTCTGATCTTGCTGTGTGAACCGAGGACAAATCACTTAACTTCTCTGACCCTCAGTTTCCTCATCTGTTTGACAAAGCTAATCATACCTTTTTCAAGAAACTGTTAAAACTTTAAGGAAAATAATGCATATAAAAACACAATTCAGCCAGACGTGATGGGTCACACCTGTAATCCCTACATGGGAGGCCGAGGTGGGTGGATCATTTGAATCCAGGGGTTTGAGATCAGCCTGGGCAACATGGTGAAACCCAGTCTCTACAAAAGATAAAAAAAATTAGCCGGGCGTGGTGGGGGGCGGGGCGCGTGTGTAATCCCAGCTACTCAGGAGGCTGAGGCACGAGAATCGCTTGAACCAGCCAGGCGGACATTGCTGTGAGTTAAGATCAGGCCATTACACTCTAGCCTGGGCGTCAGACGGAGATTCAGTCTCAAAACAAACAAACAAACAAACCCCAACAAAACAAAAAAACAAAAATACCCCGTACAATTGCTCGAAGCATAGTAAGTCCTCAATAAATAGTATCTAAGTAATTCGTCAAAAATTGGGCAGTTGGTTTTGGTTATCCGTTATCAAAAAAAAAAAAAAAATCTAGTATAGGTTTACCAGCTTTAGGTTAGCACCTAAAAACTGCACAATCGGAGTCATAGCTACAATTTGGGTTTTGTCAAAATAGTACTATCGAATAAATGGGAGAAAGGAGA